TTTCTTTAGGTAGCAAAGTGGAAATAGAGACCCTTTTGTGCCAGATTTAGCTCTGACACCCCAAATGCTTACTTTCTTATGTAGGGGTAGGTACATTTTGGGGATTGGAGGCCATTTCCAGGTTTTTCTGCACCTCAGTGGACTGAACCACTGCCATTTTTCCAACCTAGAAGTAATAGTCCAGGACCCAAAAGTTGTTTCTGGCAGTTTGGGGTTTGTTTTCTGCTGTTCTGGGATAGGGTGGGCCCTGGCATACTGTTTTTAAAAAGAAACCACACTAACCAGAGTGAATTTTGGCTGAAAACAGAGCAGGGGGCTGTTGAAATTGTTTTGGGGGAGACAGTGGTTTGGGCGGGTTGGTCGAGGTGGGGTGGTCAAGGGCCACAAAGGAGGCTCCCCCAAAAGCTACAAGCAGTCTGTTGGCCTGATTACCATTACTGCTTTACTGTTACTAATCAATGTGTTTTATCTTAATCTGTGTCACCACATTAAAGACATCATGGGAGCCACATATGTGTATCACATTTAGTAATGCAGGACTGACCATTTCCAGTTTAAAGTTTCCTGAATGGTGGCAAAGAAGAAATCAAGAATGATTTGAACTTTTAAAAATAATCTTAGTACTTATGTAGAACTGATTTCAGGGAACCGAAACATTCTCCAAATATTGCTTAGCTTTTATTTTTGGTGCAATTTAAACCATTGGTTGTTGTCCCGCTTGAGGTACAGAAGGTGTGTTCAGTTCCATTTGCCTTTGATGTTAGAAGTAAAGGGTAAGGGGCTGTTGGAAGAGCAAACAATTTTCTATACACAAGTGCATTTTTATGACTCTGTGGCTCCTTTGGAGTACAGATCCTTGATCTTTGCTGTGTTTGCACTGTGCTTTCCAATAAACAACAGTGAATAATTAAAGGGTCCCTAGTATTAACAGGGGTGACAGAGTTGGGCTGTAAGGGGATCTCCAGAACCAGTGCAATCTTGTTGGTTTTGTTCCTGGAGAGGAATTTCCCTGGAGGAGTGACTGGTAAGCCGTGCAGTAGTGTCAGGGATGGGTTATAAGCAAGGTGTTCAGTGTTCCTTCTCCACCTTGATTACTAAGCAAACTCCATTGAGCCTGGGAAAGGAATGCTGAGAGCAAGGCCAAACAGTGCTCAGAGAGCTTAGCTGGAGCCAGTAAGGGGCTCAAGGGTCACCACTGAAGACAGGGGGAAACTTACCTCCAACTGGTAAAACTGGGCTGAACTAAAGAACAAAGAACTTCCCACAACCACTGGTGGTTTCCTTGCATAGAGTTAGAAGAGAACACAAGAGCCATCCAACCCCATTCTGCCATGCAGGAACACACAATCAAAGCATCCCCTGAAAGATGGCCATCTAGCCTCTGTTTAAAAACCTCCAAAGAAGGAGACTCCATCATTCTCCAAGGGAGTGTGTTCCACTGTCGAACAACTCTTACTGTCGGGATGTTCTTCCTAATGTTGAGGTGAATCTCTTTTCGTGTAGTTTGAATCCATTGCTCCAGGTCCTATTCTCTGGAGCAGCAGAAAACAAGCTTGTTCCATCCTCAATATGACATCTCTTCAAATATTTAAACAGGGCTATCATGTCACCTCTTAACCTTCTCTTCTTCAGGCTAAACATACCCAACAGCCTAAGCTGCTTCTCATAGGACATGATTTCCAGACTTTTCATCATTTTGGTTGCCCTCCTCTGGATACGCTCCAGCTTGTCAGCATCCTTTTTTAATTGTGGTGCCCAGAACTGGACACAATATTCCAGGTGAGGCCTGAACAAAGCAGAATAGAGTGGCACTATTACTTCCCTCAGTCTAGACACTATACTTCTGTTGATGCAGTCTAGAATGGCATTGGCTTTTTAGCTGCCATAATCCACTGTTGACTCATGTTCAACTTGCATGTGTACATGCAGAGCTTCATGGCCTTATCTTTATGTATATGCTAATTTACCAACATAAAATGCTTGTCCAGCATAGGAAATGAATACTTTAACTATTTGCCCCCATCTCTTTATATTCATGTTTATATACAGCTGTCACCTGCAGATAACATTTCAAGCATCTGTCAGCTGGACAATAATCTGTAAAAGTTGAAATTGTTATATGGCAGGTCCAGGGGCCGGTTTTCTGTCTGTAAGACCACACAGGAACTACACGGACTAACAAAAAATACCAAAAACAAAAACATAACAAAATGGAAATGGTTGGAAGTACACTTTTGTTTTTGATATTAACAGATGACACACACACACACCCTGTGTGTGTGTGTGTGTGTGTGTGTGTGTGCGCGCACAATCTATTAAAATGGTGAATTGCCTTTGTGGGTGATTTCCAGAAGAAGCTATTCAAATGGGAGGGCTGCAAAAACAGCCTTGGAGCCATATGTGGCCTAAGGGCCACACTTTGTGCACCCCTGCATTATATATTGGTTATGGTACTACACGGCTCTTGTCGTATTTCACTGCAAGATGCTAATATCTAATATAGTTCCCTCTCTGATGTATCATATCAAATAGCTTTGTTTATGTTAGAGAATTCCACAGAGGATCAATGTATGTAGGCTATCACTGGATTTGGCCCTGGGGAACTTGAATTTCAGCGTCAGGTCAGTAGATAACTACAGTTGGCCCTCCGTATTCACTGGGGTTAGGGACACAAGACCCCCGTGAAAGGGGAAAAAACACAAATTAAAAAAAACCAAAACACCACTTTTTTTTTTTACCTGGGAGAACATCTCTCTAGGAATCTCTAGGTCCTTCAGCCCAACTCTGTGGTCAACATCTGTCGGCTGTAGAATTGTGCTGGAGGATCTACAAATGCCTAGAGAAGTGTTCTTTCTAGGAATCTCTAAGTCCTCTAGAGCAGGGGTAGGCAACCTGCGGCCCGGGGGCCGAATGCGGCCCCACGAGGCCTTTGAACCGGCCCCAGGCTGGTCCTGCCGCCGCTGCCCCCCCGCCATGATGATATTGATTATTGTTGTTATTACTTGTTCTTGGGGTTTTCTTGGCAAAATCTCCACAGGGGTTTTGCCATCATGGCATTTCTGGGGCTGAGAGAGTGCGCATGCATATTTTTAAATTTTATTTTATTTTATTTTTATTATTTTTATTATTTTATTTTTTTGCTTCGGCCCGCCAATTGTCTGAGGGACAGCAACCCGGCCCCTGGCTCAAAAAGGTTGCCTACCCCTGCTCTAGAGCAACTTCTGGCTAAAGATGCCCATAGAGTCATTCTGGAGCACATAGAGATTCCTAGAAAGAACATAGTAATGAAATCTGCAAACGTCAAAATGTAAATGTGGAGAACTAACTGTACAGATAGATTGCCACCTCGCCACCTTGCTTGCCTAATCCGCAAATTTGGCATCATCATGAAAGAACAGCCTCAACAGAGTTTGTTACAGGAGATGAACCACATAAAGGCCAGAATCATGTTGGGACATTACAGCAGCATAAAGACTGAATATGCCAGCAGTTGTATTACCGTATTTGATCATTAATGTAAGGAGGGCTCTGCATGTTAGTTAGTGGTTCTCCATTCACCCTCAGTGCAACAGCATGCAGGCACAGCTCTACTACCACCACCCCTTGACCAGAAGGGCCATTGAAACACCCCTGAAATGCTTGCTAGATTGTCTGGGAAGGCAGGAGCCATGCTACCTCACTCTTGTTGCTCCCTTCTGTGCTTTATGCTCTGCTAGCACTGGTGAACAGGTTCTTGGTCAAAGCCTGAGCAGCCCTCAGTTCTTGATTAGTACTGAAGAAATGATGACACATTTAAGGAATGCTACTCTTGTGGTGGTTCCTTTGCAGCTTAACTTGGAGGCCTTGGTGCAATGGATATTTTCTTCCCCCACCCGGCTGGCAACACAATTTGGAATTCAGGTATAATTTGAAAGCTCTTTACAGTCAACATTTTGCCTCCTCTTGCCCTGTGGAGAGTGATGCTGCTTCCCTTGCCCAGGGTCTTGGGAGTGATTGCATGACAGTGAATGTTTTATTAGCAGCAGGTGTCTGAGTATCCATCGAAACCTGAGCTCTCTCGGTCGTCTCACCTGACGATGAACCCAGGACCAGGGCACCCCTGCCCGGTGCCAGAGATTACTGCTGCCCATAACCTGACAAGAGCATCCCACTCCTAGAGACAGGCATATAATGTGCAATTTCACAGTGACATGGCACTCTTGTTTGCTTGGCGCACTGATCCATCGTGGCCCTCCCCATTCTGCAGCTTTGGGTGCTGTCAGTTTGGGATTAGGGCCACGATTTAATGGCTGCCACTAATACCTCTTCAGGGACTGGATCACTGTCTGGCAGGAAACGAAAGGGAAAACCACCTCAGGAATTTGAGTGAAATTGGCACTGATGACTTAGAGGCCTACCCAGTATGAGATGGGGAAACTCTTCAGATCAGAAGTGAGCTCTGAGAAGCAGACTCTACCTGGTGACACTTCATTTCCAGTCAGTGACACTGAAGAGCAATTATTCAGTTTCCCTTGAGTATTTGGCTACATGTGGAAGTCTTCCACTTAATTACTGATGTGAAGGAAGTGCCCAAACCAGGACAATGTGCAACAGAGAAGCTGTTGGCATTGCCTGGTAATCTAGGGAGAAGAAAGGTTGGGAGACACTTTGAGATGCAGTCCCCCAACTCAAGGCTCTTCATAGATGAGAAAGGGAATGTTCTCCCCATCCTCTCCTCCAGCCCCCCCCCCATTTATGAATGTTCCCAGATAAAATACCAGAAGACTCCAAAGGAAAGAACTCTCTAGAGATTCTCTGTTTCATTCACTTTGTGAAAGACAGGACTAGAATTGTTTCATAAGTATTTGGTGATAACGCCTATAAAATGTGGGTATATTGAAAACCTCTATTAATAATTACATCAACCCACCTACTTGCCCTCTGATCTAGTGTGCCATGTGCTCTGCCATACCCTTCATATATGTATGAAATTATATAGTAGCAGTGCATCTTTTGAGGGAGACAGTGTGGTGTAGTGGTTTGAGCATCGGACTATGACTCTGGAGACCAGGATTTGAATCCCAGTTCAGCCATATAAACCCATTGGGTGACCTTGGGCAAGTCTTGGAGGATGACAATAGCAAACACACACACACCCCGAAGAAACTTCCCAAGAAAATCCCTTGATAGGGTTGCCATAAGTTGGAAATGACATGCAGACACAGAATAACAAAAGTGCATCTTTTACCTTCCAGACCTCCCCTGTGTTGGCCCTGGTGACACTAAAGGTAGGAATCTTTTGGCCCTCCAGGTTCATTGGACTGCAACTCATAATATGAGCTCTAGCCAGTATAGTAAATGACATGGGAGTATGAGAGCTGTAGTCCAGCAACATCCAGAAGGCCACACTCAAATTATTTTCCTTACAGCAGGCATGCCGAATCTTTGGCCCTCCAGATATTGTTGGACTTCATTTCATACCAGCATAGTCAATGGTGAGGGAAGATGGGCACTGAAGCCCAGTGCCTGGAAGACCACCTGATTCCCCACACCAGCTCTACAGGATGCCTTGTGCTGCGTTGTTACCCTCTATGGACCCCTGACATAAACCCGTTGCTATGCTTTCCAGTTTATTAAATCTACATTTATGTGCTCTGTGACACATATTCGTATGTGTATGTGTGTGTATGTAAAAGAGAAAGAAGGGGTGAGAGGCAGTAATCTTACAACCTGGTCTTCCAAGCAGAATTCAGCTTGGAGCTTGCCCTCCCTCTTCCGCTGCCAGCCTTCTCCAAAAGTGTAACTTCCTTTCTGTTTTCCCTGGACCTAGCACTCCTGGCTTTGTTGGCTGAGACAGTTTAGCTTTGACTGGTTGTGCATTGCCCTGGAATGCGGGGCCATGCTGGCCCTCTGCCAGGCCAAACATCCCAACCCTAGCGCACAACACGAGGTGATAAGAATGAGTGCTCAGCGTGGCCAAGATCTCTCATGGAGAGGCAGGTATCTTGTGCCCAGCCCATGACCTTCCCACCACACAACCTTAGAGGCCATCATTAATCTCCTGCATGTGTACGGGTATATGTGTTCCTTTTCCTCCAGCATCCCTATGAAATGTTCTCAGCAGCTCAGTAGGCCAAACCCACAGTGCCTGCTGCCCGAGACCGACTCCAGGCAGACTGCTTTGATGGGTAGGGGATTGACTATATATTTGGCATTCCAGCTGCAGCATGTGGAGGGTGTGAAAGCTTTTGCTTGACAAATTCAGAGGGCTGTCGCCTCCCTTCCAGCCAGCCAGCCAGCCAGGCCATGGATATTTTTAGGCTCCAAATGTCAAGGAATTTTTCACCTTCTGTTTTTTGTTTTTGTGTTTTTCAGTTTGTTTTGTTTCTTTTTCTTTTTAAAGGGAATTTTTAGCTCAGGCGGTGAAAGGTGCCCCTGACTGGCAGGCTCAGACTGAATCCTCTATTTATCACCAGGCAGGTAACGATTTCCACATGCCACCCACCCTGTCTCCATGGCCCATTCAAAGCTTGGTAGCTACAATAACCCTTTCCTTGACTGCTGTACCCCCCTCCATCCATTCAAGTGATGTCTATATACAAGCTAGTAGAGGTGATCGGGGATCCAGGCAATCCTCTTTGATGTGATTACTTTCTACTTTTCATTCAGTCTTGAATCTTGATAATGCTGCTGTGCTTGGAGACAACAGTCTCCTAAGAGCTCATCCAGATATCCTTTCAAACTCTTTGATTTTCATCTTCCTCCCTCCTCCCTTCTCACTTCCAAGTCCATTTCTTTCTGGATGATCTGTGCCACATTCTGGGCTATGTGCAGTGAGACCAACATTTTTCAGACTTCATGTGGCTGCTTGATGGAGGGTTTTTGACTGGACTTTTGATCCCTGATCCATTGAACTGGGGTGGCTGCCACGAGGGGGAGCCAGCAGCCTTCTCTTTGGTCTCATGTTGCTACGGCATTGAATAGAAACCAGGACTGGTTAGTCTTTTCTTGTCTTCTCAGAAACTAGTATGAAGCATGCCCCTATTAGTGTCATAATAGTCACAGTTTTTAGCTTCCATTTTCTGGGGCACAGGAAACAGGATTTCAGGATGAAGCTGTCTTGAGCATATCATCTTACCACCTTTTAGTTAGACATCTGAATCATTACACATAATGTATAACACGCTCATTCTAAGAGTCTGAGGAGAACAGGGAGATGGTGGAACTAAAATTACCAGGCCTTAACCTTCCTCCTTGAGCCCAGACCATAAAGCATTTGATTATCTCCTACTCCCCCAACAGTGTTTGTTAAAAGTAAAACCTCTGCTATTACGCCCCAGGGCACAGCCTGAGCCTTGGCAGTGGACTCTTCCCTCTCTGATTGCTCACCTCACACTGCCTGGTATTTTATTTCCTCTTTGTTGATGGGAAATCCCTGTTCCTTTGGAAGCAAGGTCTTCTCAAAGTTCAAGGACTTTTTCCTAGGAAGAATATACTTCCTGGAAATATATTTTGCAACATGGAATTGGCAGTTCAGCTAGTTTGCATCTGCTCTTTTGCATTTCATCTGTAACTTTTGTCCTTGGATAGTGTCATCAGCACTCAAAGTGCGTTCTGGTGGAAGTGTTGTTTTGTGCTTTTTCAGCAGCATCTTTGGAGGTTGAATTTTTTTGAGTTTCAGGGTTAGGCTACCTGGTGGATGGAGGTGTCAGTGGAAAGGTCTGACAAGAGCTGCTCCTTCTGGTTCTGAGCAGTGTCTGGAAGAAGAGGGCATGATACCCTTCACTAGTAACAGCCTGTGCATGGGAGAAACCTCTGTTAGGATGCAGAATAGGGAGTGTTCCTGTAAGGTGGTGCCCTTGTATTTGGGGAGATCCCCTTAGGAAACAATTTACGTAAGATATTTGTGTGTGTGCCAAACATTTGGCCAGGTCTTGAGTAGTGGGGGGAACAACCTCCTTTTCATGTGGCTGCTTGCAAGCTTTTGTTGGCATCTGTAAGATTTGCCCAACTCACAAGCTGTTCAGAATTTTTACATCACCTCTTTCGTCCTGAGTTATGTGTGTTTTGGCCAGGGCAGAATCCCATTGCAGCCTACGCAACAAAAAAGGCTATTCTGCTGAAGAGAATCCAGGTCAGAGGAGGTGGGGGAGATAGGTGTCCCAGAGCCTGAATAAATGGAGTTGGGGAGGAAGCTGGGCCAAAGCCTACTGTTTCTGTGGGCTATGAATAAGACAGATGTGCCACCTTAGGCCTACCTTTATCCCCTCTACCAAATAGAACTAACATTCAGTACAAGGGACCAGGCAGATATTGTCTGGATGATGTCCCCTTCCCCAGCAGCTAGGAACCAAATGTCTAAACAGATTCCAGATTCCACGGCAGGCATCCAAATAACTGGACACTGCACTTGCCTGTGTGTGAGCTGCCAGGTGCTTTGTACAGTGTTCCTGTTAGGAGGGTTAAAGGCCAACAGACCAGATATGTTGCCTTCTCAGATTTAAGCAGCTGAGCACACACATCATTCCAAGGGCCACCATACCTGTGCTGTGTCCCTTTGGGGATATTTTGGGTTCAGAGTCCTAGACTGTCCCCACTTTCCAAATGTGAGGCCAGGTGTTCAGTTCGAAACTCCATAGAAGACTGACATCCAGATCTTGGGGCAGAGGGAATGCCCGTGTCTTGGGTACAGGTACACTCATACTCTGACAAAAGTGAAGGTGTGTTTACAGACCATCTCCAGGAAGTTGCAAAGAGATGTCTACTCTGTGACTAATCCCTGGTTCTCCTCACCTCCCATTTTTTGTGGTAGTGCCGGAGACACTTGACTCAGTGGCAGACTTACCTCGGCATCCACCACTTCCTCAAGATGGGACACTGTTCCCACATGCTGACTATTTCCTGTGCCTAATTATCACTAATATAAGGGAAGTGGGTGCTTTGAGTTTACTCAAGAACCACAAATCCTTCATCACAGCGCACTTGTTTGGCAGCCTTGCCCACCTTATTTCCCAATGCACCAAATTCTCCCCATAAGCCCATAATCTTGGCTGATTCTGCAGCAAATCTCTGCATTCTCTGTGTTTTGTTGCCTACGTAATCTTGACGAGAGGTGTGCTTGCTGTTGTTTGGCCCATCCCTGTGGCCTCTGGTTGCTCTCTGCCTGTTAAGCTGTTGTCTCACCAATCCAGGCTCCTGTATCATTTCATGTCTTTGAACAGTTTACAAGGTGATGCCATGCTGCTGTTATGCTCCTTGTTTTCAGGAGTGGTACATGCCATGGAATGGTTGTCCCATCATCGTTTTGTCAGTAGTTATGGAATGTGCCTTGTCTGTTGTCTCCTGGATGTGGAGAGAACCCTTCTGTTGTGTGGTGGGAGACAGAAATAACTTAAGAAGGAATTGTAGAAATATATAGTACACCAGATATTACCAACAGAAAATTTCACAATAATGTTGGCGTGGGGGGTTTCAATAAAGTAAAAAAATAAAATAAAAACTAGGTTCTATGCTAGAAATTAGATGGGTAGTTAAAGAACACTTCTCCAAAATACTCTTTGCCACAGGGAGATGTACAGAAGACTGTCACCACATAGAATCGGTGCAATTCAGAACTACATGGTAGGATGCACAGAGATCATTTAAATATAGAAAAAGAATGACCATCTTTGCAAAACCATAGAGATTTAACTCAGAGCAATTGGCATGTATTTCAGTGCTCAAAGTAAAAAAGTTACTCTTGGTCTTTTCTGAGTGCATACTCCTAACTGAATACTTGTGCTCTAAAGTGACATCAAAAAGAAAGATGCCAAAGTTCCTTTTCTGTGGAGTTTCAACCTGCTGCTGTATGCAGGATTGAAATGAGTTAAAAATTGACAGGGGTCTTTTGGCCTCTATTATGTTTTGGCAAGCATAGTCTCATGTGCAAGGAGTCTGAAGTATCTTCAGTTAAACAACACGTAAGTGCATACAGAAAAAAAGCCAGCATGAGGAGCAGGGAAAGCCAGGTGAAGTATGAAGTTTGGTACAGTTTGGCACACTAACTTGTATCTTGACTTGGACATTGCCTACTGTCAGCAGATTTGGGAGCAGA